TCGTACATGTAGTGTGATTTAACTTTATTATATGAGCCTGCAATCCTTGTGGTTGCCACGTGGTTGCAGTTGGCCGCCATGTTTTGTGTTAGTAAGAGATTTGGTAATTAAAGCCTAATATTCTGCGGGCAAACGTCTTCTCTCATTTACAACAAGGTGTATTCTACTCGTCCATTAGTACCAATGGTATGATTGGTACCAATGAAATGGCACTCAGTCTATTTGGATTGGTAAAATGCGCCTCATTATGGCGTGCGAATTACTTGGGTATCCAATTAAGGTATCCAATTACAAAAAGTTCTAATTGTATACCTGTAATTGGACACCTACGTGATCGCTCGTCGAGTACGTGACAAAAGATACACGGAGAACCAATCATGATCGCGAATTTTTAGATAGATTCGATTAATCGTAAAATATGAATGTTCAAAGCAAATTACACATCCGGCGATTGTCGTTATTTCTATTTAAATTGAATCGTTGGTTGTCGTGATTTCTATTTAAATTGAATCAAGAGAAGACTGAAATTGTTTTTATCAGCTCAAGATAGTGTCCTCTTGGCCCACTTTAGACTCTCTTCAAATTGGCAACGTGGCCGTCGCGTTGTACCATCATTCTCGGCACGTAATCTTGGCGTTANTTGACAATTGTTTTAACCTTAAGGAACACATAAAATCAAGTTGCAAGTACTCCCATTATCTCATAAAACAAATCTCGCCAAAATTAGAAGGCACGTTGAGAAGAGAGTGCCAAAATTGTTGTTCATGCCTTTATTACTTCGAAATTAGATAACTGCAATTCACGTACTGCTATATGGTCTTCCTCAGCATCTACTTTCAACGTAACAATTCGTTCAAAATACAGAAGCTCGAATTGTTACACGTGAACGCGTCACGTGACTGAATTTGCCTCAGTTAGAACGGGGGAATATCCAAATGATATTCTCCAATTTTAAAAAGATCCACGTATTGCAAAAAGTGTTTGAAGGATAATAAACACAATAGCCTTTATCTCCAAAGCGCTCCAAAAGAGGACCCATAGTTTCCTCGAGCTTCACTTTTGGAAGCTGGCTGTTCGCTTCTCGGAACAGATAATGTCCGCGTTATAAATATCCGAACATACTTTCACGCCAAGTGAGGGCTATTATTTATTGTTACCCTGTTATTATTCCCATGCACTCTGGTGCTACCCTGTCTATTAGTTACAAATTATCCTTATATTTGATATTATGATTTTGTTTCTTTTGTTTGTTGGCGATTGAAGTCTGTCTGTTTATTCCTAACCACACCCTTTTGATCTGTAGTTCCTAGCGAAGGACCCCACTTTAACGATTACAAGATCGACGAAGACGGCTGCGTAGAACTCGACTGGCATCCAATTTCTGAAGAGCATCGTAATGGCCGAATTCTTGGCTATACAGTTAACTGGGAAACAAGTTGCTACTCAGAGCACGACCCGCATTTTCATTATGGAAGTGTTAATGTCAGCGCACCAAGTACGACCGTCACGGTTTGTGATCTCAGTCCGGGATTGGATTATCGTTTTGATTTTGCAGGATTTACGTCAACGGGAGCTGGAGAAGTCCATCACAGAGACGGCATTTTCGCTAGTAAGTCCATTGTTTTAACTTGGGAATAAATGACTAAAAAGACAAACAAACAAAAAGCCAAGGAAGGAACGAAAAAAACCGACAATGGATGAACAAAGTTATTAGTTTCTGGTCGAGGCCGGTGAGCAAGTGAAACAGTAAGCCGTTTATAACTTGAAGTTGATTAAGTCCATTGTGAAGCTGGAGATTCGAGCATTAACTTTCGTCAGAGTAAATTCGCCACGTCGGTTAATTTACATTTATCAGCTTTACTTCATCAACTTCGATAACGCCGGAGCTTACCCCGGTCTTGGAGAATTTTAAACCTGCCATCTCCCGCCTCCNTCCTTAACCCCTCTCCCATTCCACTTGGATGGGATGCAGTCCATTTCAGGGTTAACCTAAAACCCTAAAGGCATTAAATTCGCCAATATCCATTTACATACGCGGAAGGAGACAGGCACTGCGAGTAACATATCTTGCGCAAGAACCAATAGGCTATGACCTGATCTCTTGTCAAAATCACATGCAATGCAGAAATCCCGGTCCGGAGAGCTCAACCTGGAGTCCAGCCCCCTAAACATAAGGCGGCCGCGTCTCTTTCATATTCCAAATTAGCAAAACAAACAAACAAACAAACAAAAGCAATTCAAATAAACTAGATGGAAAACGATGTATACCATAACATACGTTAATATTAGGTCGCAATTCACACGAGGGCAATGATTTCATTAATTAGAAAATGCGCTTCTTCTTTTAAGGCTGTGGGGGCAAGGTTACATTGACCGATGAAGGGGGCGAGGTAAAGAGTCCTAACAGACCTTGCCATTATGGCGGAGAGCAGCACTGTTTCTGGTCCATCAAACCTAACACAAGTTTCCCGACGAAGGAGATATGGATTTACTTTGAGGATTTCAGTCGTTTAGAAGTTTACGAGGAGTCTTCTGGTTGCAGGTGCGTAGGTCAATTTAGACTTTTACCAACATTTTAAAGCAATAATCCTATGTAAGACTGTATATAATACAAGTGAATATATGAAAGATCATATTTTGAACTGCGGACTGAAGGGTATCAAGACATGATTGATGATCCTAGTTATAACATGACTGCCATGATCAATTATGTCTTCATACTGTATATCATGTTAGTTATATAGATATGTCGATGAGCAAAGTGGTCATTTTTTTTCTGTTTTACTTTATTCTATTTTTCGTTCTTTCGTTCATTCATTCATTCATTCATTCATTCATTCATTCGTCCATTCGTCCATTCGTCCATTCGTCCATTCGTCCTTTCATTGGTAGGCTGGTTGGTTGGTTGGTTCATTCATGTTTTCATTCACTCATTAATTGCTCGTGTGAATTTTTTTGTTCTTTTGCTTGTTTGTTCATGTGCTCGTTTGTTGAGCGCTTTGTCATTTTTCTTGTATCTATTTGTCCGTTTGTCTCTTTGGTCATTTGTCCACTTTTCATGTTTTTTCTTTTGCTTGCTTGTCTGTTTTCTCGCTAAATAATTCTCTCGATTACTGTTTTTATCCTTTATAGATCTAACGAATGGATTGCCAATGGTAGTTTCATTTGTAGCGACATATTTGCTCGCTGAATAATCTTCTTTATCGATACTTTTTTCTTTTACAGGGCTAACGATTGGATTGGCTTCTCGACAAACGGAAATGTTACTGATGCCTTTATTTGTAGAGACATAGGCGATTTCGTTGTTCTTATATCGGATAACCACGTCGACCTCAGCTTTATCGCAAGAGGAGAACATTATAGACGTGGAGAGGGTTTCTCTACATCTTATCAAGGCGTCGGATCAGAGCTCAATGGTATACTTTGAATATAGATCAATTAAGCGTTTACCTTGACAAGAAGGAAGTCACTTGAGTCTTTACCAGAATAACTCTTCGCAGCGTCACAACTAGTTCATTTTTGCTTTATTCACGGTCAATGATTAGTTACTTTTGTATTATATGTTTTTATGTGTATGGGAGATCGGTCTGTTTATTAGAGATTAATTATACCTCTGAGCAGATTGTACTTTTTGGTAATTTCAACAAGTAGCTGTCGCAGCCACGAGAAAAAATAATACGGTAATTCAAGCACGTGCTGAGCCAAGTTACACTTGACTTTTTCATAGTTTTGTTTTTATTTTGTTTTGTGTTTTTTCATTTTTTTGTTTTATTATTTTTTTTTTACACGAAATCTGCAAAGGTGTAGGGGTAGTCCAAGCACCCTAACAACCCTTCAAGGACATGAACGTAACGCGATTTTAAACAAGGGTCTTTATTTCTTACATTGGTTCTATTCCAGTAACTCAGCTATCTTCCTGGAACCTGTCAGTAACCACAGGCAGAATGTCTGCTGATGCACAATGGACAGCGTTTCCCCTGGATGAGCACATTGAAAACCTCTGGTTGAGGTACAAAGACGTAGATGGAGATGTATCCGTACTGATCCCAGTGGACGAGTATGATGATTCTTATCACATAAACAATTTGCTTAAGACAAGCACTAACTACGTCTTTGACCTCCTTGCATTTACGGGGGATTTTGGAATAAGCCAAGGCTATTCAAGTCAGAACGTTACCGTGGTAACATTAGAAGGAGGTGCGTTTTATGCCGCGAATATTTTTTTTTTTATGCAACACTTACTGTGGTTTACCTGTTTTTACTTATTCTTAACTGGAAGAATTTTATTAGCTCTCACTTGAGCAAATAATCAGTTTGCGCCGTTTTTGGCGCTGCGCCCCAACTAACTGGGCGCCTGGAAGAGGCCAAGGCACTGGATATCGCGGCTTCTTGTTATATTTTTTGTGATGTCTTCACAGATATGTTCCTCCAACGCACCCTCTCTTTTCGAAAATAACGTAACTTTAGTAAGGCTGGTCACTGGGTACATATATCTTAGTAGATGTTTTGGTGTGTAGTATCGCTGTATATTTTTACGAGTTGTGCCATATTTTGACTCGCCCTACGAGCTCGTCAAAATACAAACAGCGAGTAAAAATATACGCGATACTACACACCAAAACATCTAATAAGAGATTTATTATCCAACTGCTGTAGTCAATATATTTATCAGTGAAAGAGGGAGAGTGTGACAGTTTTACGTGCCCACGCCGATCGATCAGTCCGGCAAACAGGTTTGCTACTGTACAAATAACTGTACAATATCGCTGTATATTTGTACTTTTATTTGGACGGTATTCGCTGCAGTTGGATAATAAAAAAGGATTATGACCGAAATTATGAATCTAAGTTTACAGATGGGGTAGGAAATGGGGTAAGGGAAGATGGCGGAGTGGGGCGTGGTAAGCAGAGAGCCACATAAGCGTAAAGCTACCGCATATTAAAGTTTTCTTGTAGTCGACCACTGAATTATGAGAACGTTTGTACTCGCCTTGCAATGACTTAAAAGAAGCGGCTTTTTAAAGACAGTATCAGACAGCCACAGTTGGATGTGCTAAATTTACTTCTCATGTATCTGATCATGTACACATTCATTTTAAGTACGTGTAGCCCAGGTAACAGAGCTTTAGACCAAGATTGTGCATCTATAGTAACGTAACGAGGCTCACGTTTCTTGGCCTGTTTTTATTAGCTCCTGAAATAGCACCTGAAAATGTAGCCCTGCAGCCCTTGCCCGGCAACAGAATGCTGGTATCATGGGATCCGCTTCCTGACGAATTCACAAACGGCCAGCTAATAGGGTACATCATTTACCTGAGATTCTACAAGAATGAATACGAGTGGTATGATGATGGCGAATTGGGACGGAGCGTTAACGTCAGTTCATCAGAAACCCAGGTCATTCTAGATGACTTGGACGGTGGCAGACGTTACCAAGTCTCAGTTGCTGCATTTACGGTTGATGTAGGACCAAAATCGAATTGGGAGACTTTTATGGTTGGTAAGTGTATAATCAAGTAGTGCCCTTGTTTAGCCTTTTTAATCTGATTGGTAAATTGATTGATTGATTGATTGATTTTAATCTGATTGGTAGATTGATGGATTGATTGATTGACTGAGTTAAGGAGTAATTGATTGATTGACTGACT